TAAAATTGAAAATAACCTATGGGGGACAGTTTGGTGACATCTGTCAAAAACTTCAAAGATGCTCAAATACTACGAACCAAAACTCCATTTCGTAAATCTCATGTGAACAAAAATACATAGAATTATGTATTTATAATTCCATCATCATTTATAATTAAGTAAAACATATATCAAAACAGTACAGGAACTATAGCACAGTCCATGGAGGAATGCTGCTTGCTGGCTTTCTCCTATGGCTGGTTAGTGCTCAGCCTGCTTTCTCATACAACCCTGGCCTGTCTGCCCAGGTAGGTAGTCCACAATGGGCTAGACCCTCTCATCTCTCTCAACAATCCAGAAGATGCCTCACAGGCATATCCACAGGCCAGTTTGATAGAGGGAATTCCCCATTTGACTTTCCCTCACCCCAGGTGTGTCAGGTTGACAACCAAAGCTATCTAGCACATAGGTATTGGGAGATTCTTATGACCAAATAAACAAGGCCAATTCTTAGAGTGCACGGAAGTGGTGGGAAGGGAGGAGGTTTTTCTGTTTGTCTCACTTGAATTTTTATACAGAATCATTGTGTTTTAACTTGAAAAGATTAATCATGCTGTGTGTGTGGTGTTGCTGCACACCTTTAATCCCTGCTCTCCAGAGGCAGGGGCAGGTGGATCTCTGTGAGATCAGGTCCAGTGAGTTCCAGGCCTGCTGGGGCTACAGGGAAACCCTGACTCAAAAAATTTTTTTAAAAGTTTAATTGTGACCTGGTGGTGGCACATACTTACAACTGCGACTTTACAACCCTTACAGTCCCACACCCGCAACTACTAGGCTAAAGTTAAGAAAGAATGTTCAAGACTAGCTCGGGCTACACAGTGTTTCCCAGGCCAGCCTGGCATTGTGAAAGTAAATGGCAGTAATGGCAGCAGTTCTCAGGAAGTTGCTGAAGATGGATCTGCTGAGGATTTCAGACTTCGTGGTTCTGAGATAACATCTTCATTTCAGAGTTGTTGCAGTTGTCCAGGTAAAGAGGCTGCGATTCCAAAGGATGAGGACGATGGGAGTGGCCAGTAGTGATGCACTCCATGGGATGTGGGAGGAAAATAAAGCATCAAAATTTATAGTCCAGCGTGAAGATGTTTATAAGACAAGATCATGCTGGAGAGCCCCCTAGTGGAAGGGAGCATGGTATTAAGCAAGAGCCTAAAGACTTTTTGAACCCTTCTTTGGATACATGTGTTTTCTTTCTTTACAGTGAAATTAAACAGGGAAGTTTTAGTCAAAATACTCGTAAATTATATGTAAGTTTTTCCTCTACCCTGCAAGAGGTAGAAAAGAGGCATTTTCTGAAGAGCTGCAACTTGTGACAGATTTTCTTCTGCTGTTCAGTGGGGAGTGTCATGGAAGTTTCTCGTAAGGGAAAGTAGCAGGGCGGGCAGGTAGTGCTGGGACCGTGAATGCTGGCTTCCAGTGGAGCTGCAAACAGCCCAAAGGCTGAGGTCACAGACCCTAACCTCCCAGCACGCTAGGAAGAAAGATTATTTTCAGTGTGACATTTCTTGTGACATTTGTTCATTGTTTCTCAGCGCCGCTTCAGGACAGCTTCTCCCTTCGGTGGTTTTCTCCTACATTTATTATATGGAAAGGAGGGTAAAGTTATGGGAAAGTTCTTCACACAAAAGATGAGTCAGGAGGACAGTCTGTGTCTGTTTCTCCTTCCTTTGTTTTATTAAATTAATAATTGCACAGAGAGAAAATTGTGGGACATCCTATGTTTAAATTATTCACATTGTTTACTTCTAAGTACAATTGTAGAAATGAACTTTTCCTAACTTTCTTCAGTTTGATTGCAGTATTTCTAAACAGTCATTCACACTAATTGCAATGGTTCTAAAACAATTTTATTGCAATGTTTTTAAAAATAATAAAATATGTAAAATTCAGTGTCAAGCTAGAAATTAGTACATTTATAGATTAAGAAAACGTAGAGGTAAAAAAGAAGCTTTCAACTTTGTTTCTGTTGTATATCTTTAGTTATGTAGAAGCTCGTGTTGCTATAAAATAAACAACAGAACATAAAAAATTATATATTCATAAGAATACGTGTTTTTTATTTATATTGGGTAGCTTTCTGTATTAATAAATACTTATCAACTTTTAATTTTTAAAAATTTGAATGAAAAAGCTGGAAGATCTTCCTGAATTTGACTACGCACACAGTTAGTTGGTGGCAACTCAGTGACTAATAGGGTGAAGGCACATAGACCTTCTACGCCCAGCTTTCCAGTATTGACCTTTTCTGACCTGCATGGGTAACAGTACTCTTAATTTTCACCCCACAGATCACTTATGTGTATTTTAAACTTTGTAAAGTGAATCTTAGAGTTGTGTTTGGCTTTTTATGAATTCGCCTTTGGGGAGCCACATCATTTTCTGAGCTTCATCCTGTGGTTGCACGTGGCAGTAGTCTGTTCTGTTTGGTTGACAGCCTAAAGGAGCAGCACCGATAGATACCACGGTGTACGCATTCAGCTGTTGATGGGCATTTGGGCTTTTGTTGGGGACTGTTCATATGTGAGGCTTCTTGTGCATGTCTTTTGAATATATCTTTGCTGGATAGGTGCTCATTCCTGTGGACTGTGAATGTAGAATTTATCTTTTACAGGCATAGTCCATTAGTTTCCAAAAGTAGCCCCACCTTGTCCTTGCTAACACTGAGTATTAATGGCTGCTGTTTATTAGGTTATTTATTTATTTATTTATTTATTTTTAGTAGCTTTCAAAAAATATTGATTTTTAGGGGCTGGAGAGATGGCTCAGTGGTTAAGAGCACTGGCTGATCTTACAGAGGACCTAGGTTTGGTTCCCAGAACCCACATGGTGGCTAACAACCATCCATAACTTGAGTTCCAGGTGATCTGACGCCATCTTCTGACCTCTGTGGGCTTTACACAACAGGGGTGCACTAACACATATGCAGACAATACACTTTTATACATAAAAATAAAATAATAAAATATTTTAAAAATATAAATTTTAAAAGCCTGCCGGTATTTTGTTATAGACATAAATGTGCTATAACTTGGTGCTTTTTGATGGTCTTTTGCTGCCTCCTCCCCAGCCTTGACAGCTCTCATAGCTAGTGGGCTCCGTGCTTGGTTCGCTATGTGGTGTCCTGTGAGCAACAAACCAACAGAACTGACCGTTTTTCTGAACAGATTACCCTCATATTCCTTGTGTTTTGAGTTATGTCAGCAATGCAAAGCCTCCGTTTAAATATAAGGGTTTTTTTGGTTGACAGGAAAATAAATTTTGATTTTTATGGTAGTAAATAATTATTTTATTCACTCTTATTTTAAAGGTAGTGTAAAGAAATAACAATACTTGAAACTAGACCTTTGGTGAAGAAATCACCAATCACAGCTGATTTAACTGTTCAGAATAATCAGCATTTTCTTAAAACAAGCATTCAGCTCTATAAATTACTTTGAGATTGTAGTCACTCGGGTTTTGGAAAACAGAATCTTGCCCTTAGGAGAAAGAAAGATGTTGAGACAGTGCGATGTCTCAGTGAGTAAGGTGCTTACCACCAAGCCTGACAGCCTGTGATCAATCCCCAGAGCCCACATGGCACAATCCCATACATACACACACACACTCAAAATATGAAAAAGAAAAGTGTTCTATCAGAGTGCCTTCTATCAGAGTCTTTTTTTAGCATCTCCTCCCACATTTTCTCAACTTCTAACAAAAGGTTCTCAGTATATGCAACGCTAAGACTTTGCTTTTAATTTATTAAAAACGTCCAAACCTACTGCTTTTTCTCCTTTTAGGTGGTATGATCACTTCCTGGTAGCTCCTCTTCCTGTCAGGCACTGTAGCCTTAAACAGGTGTTGACACAGTGGTGTTTGGTGGTCCATTGCCATGAGTAACTCCCTGGGAGGGTCTAACCCTCTATTGTACCCTTTACTGGCAACCCTCTATCATAGCCGAATGGTTTTCTGGAAAGTGCCTTGCAGTCCTGTGGAATGTTTGTGTGTTTTCTGGTTGTCTCTGCTTTCACCAGTATGGAATTTTTAAAGATAGCTGTAATAACTTGAACGAGCATGTGAGTCTCCTAAGTTTTAGACATTTTTTTTTTTTACTTTCATATGTGGAAATCATTTGTACTCCTAATTGCTGACAAGAATTTCTTAGTGATAGCAGAAAAATGCAGTGCTTCATAGTCTGTTCCGTTTTGAAGGGAAAGTTGTATGTCGGGAAAAATGTTTTTAACTGCTGAGCTTTCTTCAGAGGTTGCATTACAATGTAAATCTAAAAGTCTGCCAATTCTTACTTCTCTGTACTAATACTAATGAGTCTAAAATGCCTAAATGAATTAACAAATAAGCCAAAAGCTTTATTGAAGACAGTATTTTCAATGATGCTTCCTTTCCTAGCCCCTAAATCTTTTTATTATTGTCAACAGTGAGAAGCAAAACTTGCTGACTGGATTTTTTTTTTCCTCAAAGTATCTGTTAAAAGTTCTCATGTTCCGCCCGGCCTTGTGGTGCACGCCTTTAATCCCAGCACTCGGGAGGCAGAAGCAGGCGATCTCTGTGAGTTCAAGGCCAGCCTGGTCTACATAGTGAGTTCCAGGACAGCTGGGGCTACAGGGAGACCCTGTCTCAGAAAGACCAAAAAAGAAAAAAAAAAAAAAGTTCTCATGTTCCAAACCAGATGCAGACCACAGATCTGACAAATAGCTGTTACCTGGGACTCTCCTCATTAGCTCGTATTCAAGTGCTGGGTTTGGAGATTAACTTTAGAAAGTCACTAGAGAGTCTTAGTTGATAAAATGCTTTGACTTGTAATAGATAATTTCTGCACATGTCCTAGTCAGTGCCATCAGGCCGGTGTAAAGGAGCTTGCTTAAGTTACAGCTTCCTTAGCACTAACACAAATTAAGCACCCAGCACCCTCATAACTCCACTACCCTTTCAGTACCCCACCAAAGGCTGTTTTTCTTTTTACACAGGTATCAGTCAGAGCCGGATCTCTCATTGGCTTCTGCAGCAGGGGTCAGATCTGAGTGAACAGAAGAAAAGAGCGTTTTACCGATGGTACCAGCTGGAGAAGACAAACCCTGGTAAACGTTCCTCTCGTTTATTGCCTCTGAAATAGGACAAGTGTAACTATGTCATTGGATCCGTGTGCTGATCCAGCACAGTCACTTCATGCTTTACTATCATTTCTTATGCAAGTAGACAACTGTTGACCCTGAGGCCTGGTTGGGATTCCCTGTAGGTTTTGTTTAGTGTCTCCTAGGCTGGTTCACCTGTCCCCTAAGCCACTTCTTTGCTTTTGGGTTAGGTGATTTTTTTCAGGTGTAGTTTGGAAGAATGGTCATGCATGTCAGTGGCTGACTTTCCTATTTTCAACTGTAGGAACACAGATAAGATTGAACATGGTTTTTCTGTTTGGGGGGAGAATCTTGTATTAGTATTTAATATTTTATCTCGTTCATCCTGTGATCTTAGTATAATAATGGAGATTGTGGTTATATCGGAAATCACCCTTATTATTAGGACATGGTGGCTGAATACATGATTTTTAATGTACATTTTTATTGAATTTTTGTGCATTTCACACAAAACATTATCTTTTCATCCCCTTCCCCATCTTCACTCCCGGGTAGCCCCCATACCAGATTTCATGCATTCTGTCTCTTATGTTAAGGCCTGTCACGTCAAGTTAGGGTACCCAGATGTCCCTCAGTGCGTATTCATCCACTGGGGTCTAGTCCACCTGTCTAGAGTCTCTCCCTTAAAGAAGATCATTCATCTTGTAGTGATTTTGTTTTTAAGTCTTATGACCTGAGTAATAAATGTGACTTGGAGTTTTAGATAAAGCTGATCAGATTACTCAGAAGCACCATGTTGGAAAGCATGGTGAAATCTTCAGAAAAAAGACCACAAAGCCTTGGTGTCCAGACTTGCCAAGAATAGGTAACAGTTACTGCAAGTTTGTTTTTTTTTGGTCTCTTTGAGACAAGGTCTCCCTGTAGCCCCAGCTGGCTGGAACTCACTATGTAGACCAGGCTGGCCTCGAACTCAAAGAGATCTGCCTGCCTCTGCCTCCCAAGTGCTGGAATTAAAGGCATGGCGTTAGTTAACAAGTGTTATATCAAGAAAAATATGAAGTCATGGGACTGGCTGTCTCAGTCTGCACATTGCACAGGCTGGTGGTGAGTCTGTTCTCAAGTATGAACTTGACATTGAGATGTCTTCTGTAGTACTGCTTCATGAAGGCTTTGCATTCACCAGCTGAAACTGCATAGCAGTAACACAGCCTGTGAGGCCTGAAGGAAGAACGGTGTGTAGAAGCTTGTGTGTGTGTGGGGGGGGGGTCCTCAAGAAGCTTGTGAGTGTGGGGGGCCTCAGGAAGCTTGTCAGTGTGTGGGGGGGGTCCTCAGGAAGCTTGTCAGTGTGGGGGGGTCCTCAAGAAGCTTGTGAGTGTGTGGGTGTCCTCAAGAAGCTTGTGGGGGGGCCTCAGGAAGCTTGGGGGGGCTCCTCGAAGCTTGTGAGTGTGTGGGTGTCCTCAAGAAGCTTGTGGGGGGGGCCTCAGGAAGCTTGGGGGGGCTCCTCAAGAAGCTTGTGAGTGTGGGGTGGGGTCCTCAAGAAGTTGGTGAGTGTGTTTGTGGGGGTTCTCAAGAAGCTTGTGAGTGTGGGGGGCCCTCAAGAAGCTTGTATGTGTGTGGAGGTCCTCAAAAATTACATTCTCAACCCAGAAGGCCCTAGAATATATTCTTCTATGTTCTCTTTTGAAGTGTTTCAGATACACAGAAAATTTGAAAGACCAGCACAGTATACAATTATTTTATCTTCTTTGATGCAATAATTATGAATATTTTGCTATATTTGCTTTATTTTCTATAAAATACATTTTAAGATTTATATATGTATTTAGCCATCATGTCCTAATAATAAGGGTGATTTCCCATATAACCCCAATCTCTATTATTATACTAAGAAAAATAATTTCATAAGTACCTAGTCTGTTATCACATTCTGTGATTGTTACAAAATGCCTTCTGTTTCTGGCTCTCACTCTTGTAATAAATAGCATCTATTTTAGGTCAGCAAATTAGGATGCCCTTGAAGACTCTTAAACTACCCAACCTTAATTTCTTCATGACATAAACTTTAAAAATTCTATTATCTTGCAGGATGCCCCACATTCTGGATTTTTCTAGACTTTTTACTTTTATTCATAAACAACTTAGTTCTTTAGCATTTATTACTTATATGCTGGAAATCAGAATTGAAGGCTTTGTTAGATTCAACTGGCATGTGTTTATCAAGAATACTGCCTAGGAGCTGGAGAGACAACTCAGCAGGTAAACGCACTGGCTGCTGTTGCAGAGGACCTGGGCTCAGTTCTCAGCACTCACAAGGCAGCTAACAACCATCCATATTCTAGTTCCATATTCTAGTTCTGATGTCCTCTTCTGACCTCGGAGAGCATTGTACAACACAGGTGCATGTACATACATATTGGCAGAACATCATTCACATACACAAAAAAAATACATCCCACAAGAAAACTTTTTCTTGTCTTTTTGAGACAGGGTCTCCCTGAAGCTCCAGCTGGCCTGGAACTCACTATGTAGACCAAGCTGGTCTGAAACTCACAGAGATCTGCCTGCCTCAGCCTCCCGAGTGCTGGTATTAAAGGTGTGTGCCACCACCTCACTACACAAAAAAAAGTTTTTTAGAGAATAACTGCCTGGAGCTGTGCATGATGGTGAACACCTTCCATCCCAACACTAGGGAAGCAGAGGCAGGCAGATCTCTGTGAGGCCAGCCTGGTCTAAATAGTGAGTTCTAGGCCAGTTGAGGCTACAGGGAAACCCTGTCTCAAAGAGACCAAAGAAAAAAAAGAATAGTGCCTGAATTATATAGAGGCTGCTGTAGTAAAGGCATCAGTTGATGTTGAAATGTGGCAAGAATAAGTAGATGGGGGGGCTGGGGAGGTCTGTGGTGTGGGATTAAGTAGTGCATGTGTAGTTCTCACTTGCAAAATGCTTTTAGTGTTTGTTCTAGTTTGTTCTTCATTGCTGTGACAAAATACTCTGATCACTACCAACTTGGGGAGGAAAGGGTTTATTTAGCTTATATATCCTGGGTCATAGTTCATCCAGGAGCCCAAGGTAGGAACTCAGGGCATGAACCTGGAGGCCGAAGCTGGAGCACAGGCCATGGAGGAATGCTGCTTACTGGCTTGCTTTCCTGGCCCCTGCTTACTCAGCCTTTCTTATGCAACGCAGGCCCACCTGCCCAGGCGTGGCACCACCCACAGTGGGCTGGGCCCTCTCACATCATTCATCAAGAAGATGCCCCTCAGACATGGCCTTAAGCCAGTCCAATAGAGTCAATTCCCCAATTGAGGCTCCCTCAACCCAGGTGTGTCAAGTTGACACTAAAGCATCCAGCACAGTGTTTCTATATGTTTGATTTTTTTTTTTCAATAAAACATTAGGAAAATTCTTTGTAAATACTTTGTGTTTCATGTTGCCATAGTCACAAGACCATGTATGTCAAGTGGCAGCACTATCCATGTGCTAAATTTGATCATGTTGTGTAGGTAGAGACCCTGGTCTTTTCCTTGCAGTCTGTAGATAGTCTGTAAGGCAGTAGTCTCATCCACCTTCCGCTCCACATTTATCAGCTGAATTTCTTCTGAAAAGAGCTTTCACATCTAGGTGTGTTCTAATGATGGCTAGGAACACATGCAATCTCTGGAAATAATGACTGTTTTTAGTGCCACAAGTTTCATTTTTCAAGACCACACAGTTCCCAGAACTACAGTGCAAATGACATGCAATTTTAGACTTTCTAGTGGCCATATTTCAAAAAGAAACAATGAAAATTAAGAGTAAGAATATATTTTAGCAAGTATCATTTCAGTATTTAATTCTTTTTTTTTTTTTTGGTCTTTTTAAGACAGGGTCTCCATGTAGCCCCCGCTGTCCTGGAACTCACTATGTAGACCAGGCTGGCCTGGAAGAGTTCTTCTTGCCTCTGCCTCCTGAGTGCTGGGATCAAAGGCGTGCGCCACCTGTGGCCCAGCTTAATTCATATTTTGAAAATTGAGGAACCCCCAACCCCTGCTTATTTCTAGTCTGGATTATTTACACTTCCAGCACAAATTTTCAACAAGTCATATTGCAAGTGCCTAGTAGTCGTATATGGCTGGTGGTTATCCTATGAGACCAGCAAAACTCTAAAATATACTTGTAGCAACACTTCAAACTTGATGCTAAGCGGTCTCCCAAAAGAGGACTTCCGATCCACGGTGACAGCAAAACAAAGCAGGTGGGGAGGGAACGAAATTTGGAATTTTGTATGCTTAACAGAGCAGACTAGAGTGAGGGTTCAAACAGGTGAATGTGTTTATCTCTAGGATTTGGGACCTGGGACTGGATTGATACAGAACTGATCCATAATTGTTGAATTGTTGAGGCTGGAATTTAGGGCTGGGCTGGGCCTGGGGCGGAAAGGAGGCCATTAGGGTATCACATACTAGACACCAGAAGGAGACCTGCAGCAACACTGATCTGGGGGTACTGGCCACTGAGGAACCCTACTCTAAGAATCCAGTTTGCAACCTTGGACTGATAGCTGATTTCTAAAATTGATTTGTTTTAATATTAATCTTATTTCCTGTTCATTGTACCTTGGAACTGGAGCTAGGCTTACCCAGCATTGAAAAACTGAAGGAAATTGGAACCTAGGGCACTCAAGCAGGAAAAGTAGAGAGAACCAACAGCATTCGTGGAGCAGCTCTCTGAGCAGGCATAGGTCTGCCTTGAAGAGTGAGTTCCCTAAGATTCAGCATCTTCGCCTCTCATTTACCACCAGCTTTTGGGAGGTTTTTTTTTGGTCTTTTTGAGACAGGGTCTCACTGTAGCCCCAGCTGGCCTGGAACTCAGTTTGTAGACCAGGTTGACCTTGAGCTCACAGAGATCTGCCTGCCTCTGCCTCCCCTCCCGAGTGTCGGGACCACCACACCCGGCTACTGCCAGCTGTTTTTTCTTTTGTTTTTTTGAGACAGGGTCTCCCTGCAGCCTCAGCTGACCTCGAACTC